TCAAAAATCACTATTTTGGTATCCCATGTTAAGTCAATGGGGCTTGAGAAAATTATCAATTGTAACAACACAACACTAGATACAGTTTGGATGCAGCCAACTTAAAAAGAATCTACAATAGAAGCCGTCCCTCAAAATCTACTTTCCTTCAAAATTTGAACACTAAAAGGCCCAGGTCAAAATCTAGGTCAAATTCATAGTTTTTCTTTTGACTACAACAAATCATCTTTAATTGATCTCATATATACCAATACTTTTGTTTGTAAACCAGGATATACATTCCTCTGTAGGTTCTACACTGTGTGAGCACAGGACCGTGGGTCCTTTATTTCATCTGTAATGGCATTTTCCAGTTGATGGGTTTATATATAGTATTTTCAATTTTTCATGAGGGTGCCTTTAGACTACTTGTAATGGGGTGGCTAATTACTTTACTGAATGAGGAATGTTTATCCAAACAATGGATACAAAGAAAATCTGGCCAGTTGTCCATCAGTAAATAAATCATCATGATAAAAGTATAATTTATTAAAGCATCCATTTGTTACCGTTCTGAATCCAAATGATACATAGGTGCATCCATTTTATACATATATGTTGACGTTTACGAAATGTGTTTCAAATATCTTCCCTATAACAGGAATATGGTAGCTGAAACTTTCACACATTGTCATACTATGTATATTGAATATGTGTGCAAGATTTCAAGTCACAATGTTAAGTAGAAACTCTGAGATCACTTACCTCGATTTGCTGTCATATTTTTGCAATGATCCCATTCCCTATAATGTACGCGAGTACCCACGATACATTACATATAAATGACTGCATCCACATAGATCAACTAGCCACAGTGTGACACAGAAATAAACTATTATTAAACTTAAACTAAACTATTTATATGTACAAAATATTAATCCAATGAGTGTATAGAGTGACACAATTAAACAATGGGACATCTGCCAATTTGGGTTTATACATTCTGGAGACATTTTCTGAGACTGATAAAAAATTCACATTTTCACAGGAAGTGATACATACCTCCCAAATCAACCAAAATATACTTATATCAGTAATCTTAAATGCTTTTTATTGCTATTTCTTGAAAATATACATATTTATCTACAATTTGATCCTACATATTAAGGATATTCAGGGTTCGTACACCTTTTTCAAAATGAATTTCCCTGACAATTCCCTGACATTTCCAGGCAAAAAAGGAAATTTCCAGATCTAATTTACCTCGCGCGCCCTCTAAAAAGTCTCAAACAACTGTATTATTCAAGACAAAAAGACTTATTATGAAACATTTGGGGTTTCTCCTTCAGTTCCATTTCTCATGACTTAACTACTTGTACAGGCAGTCTTATTCACCAATTTATTCCTGATACATTTTATTTTTAATATTACATATTCTACATTGCATAAGGCCAAAGGTAAACATACATGTACAGGGGCATAGCCAACAAGTATCAAGGAGGTGCATCTTTTGGGGTTTGCATCACTGCTAGCGAAGGAAAACCAAGAGGGGGTACGGGGGTTCACCCCCGGAAATTTTTCAAAATTGACAATTGTATATGGTGCATTCTAAGCATTTCAAACTATAATTTGTTAATGTTTTGAAATGAATCCAAATGACAACTGAAACTTTAAAATTTTGATCTAAATCCTACTAGAAAAATAGCAACTCACTTGAGGGGCCATTCCCACCTAATGAAACATATTTCTATTGAATACTATCATTGTGAACATTATATGATAGCAATAACCTGGCATTACTATTGTCTTCTCCCTTTTGGGAAAATTACACCAAAACAATTGACACCATATTAGAAATTCCTTCTCAAGTAGCATCACCAGATCACGAAAAGGCTCAGGCCTATGATACCAAATCAAATAATCAGTATTTTGTGTTATCAGGAATCAAATTTCTTTAAATTATCAAAAATGTCATAAAAATGGTGGCAATTTTGAATTCAGAGACCATCTTGAATATTTCTTCTTTAGCAGGTCCTTTGTCCCTAAGGCTACATCATACAAAATTTGAGCCAAAGTAAAATGCTGGGTTCATCTTTACAAGAAGAAAAATTTGGACCAAATTCAAAAACTGTTAATAGTACCCCACACACATTTTGGTTGCCTACTTCCATGTGCTAAGGTTTTCAAAATTGGCAAAGCCCCTGAAAGTTGAAAAGACTGACGTACGATCGGATTGTCGAACAGACAGCTTCTTAATATAAATAGAATTTTACATTGTAAAGAGCTCCCAGAATTTTTTTTGTTTTTCATAATTGTATTAAATCATCTATTATTTTTATATTCGGTTTCAGTGTTATGTTCACACTGTTCTTACAAATAGACAATACCAGATCTAATGTCATTCAACCAACCCTAATGAAAAGAAAATTCCCTGACATTTTTGGCCCTTTTTGACCCAATTTTAAAATTCCCTGACATTTCCAGCACCTGGAAAAATAAATCAATTTCCCTGACATTTCCAGGTGTGTACGAACCCTGATATTAACGACATTGCATTTTTCAAAAAATGTTAAGTGACCCCAGGGGTGTCTATAGCCATTCGTTCTTTCATTATACAAAATTATCGCATAAAACTACTTTTAACAGTGACATGAGCTTTTTCAATACAGGATACCTGAAACTATTTATAAAGCTACTAAACATTTTTATCATGAAAACTCAAAATCACCTTATTATATAATGCAAATGTATTAACGTTCAGACAGACACGCAAACAATATGGCCCCACACCATGTGGTGGGGACATAAAAAGGATACAACATTTGCAATCTACTCTAATATAGTATATTGACTTTCATTTGAGTATATTAAAGATGTACTTTAAAAAGATCTCAAAATTAAAGCAAATTCCTGATGGACTGACATATGGAGGGCTTCACTATATCCCTATCAAACTTCTTTCGTTGGGATAATTACCCCTGACTTATCTAACACGTGTACAGTATTCACTTACAAATAATTTCAGATGTCTGGCACACACTAAACCATCTCCTCCATTGTTTCCTGGACCACAACACACAAGCACAGCTCCATTGTCCTTAGTCAGTGTTTCCAGAGGGTAAGCCTACAACAGTTAACTTTCATTTAATATTCACTGGTAGATCCGGAGGTAACAAGTGGGGGGGGGGGGGGGGCAAATTTTTACGCCAAATTTTTGGGTTGGGCCCTGCAAATTTTGAAAAATTAAGGTCCATTTTTGATAATTCGGCCTAAAAAAGGCCAAGTAATGTCTACAAAGGCCCACTAATTGAGGCCCCAAGATTTTTTCCTGGGCCTATCAGAGGGTCCTTCAACTCTAACAATCTGGCCACCTGATATTTTGATCAGGAGTGGATCTGGAAATTTGAGGCCTCAACAGTACTGACAACTAGAAAAACAGCAACTCCACGGAGTAACAAATCCCACCTAACAAAATATGTTTTGATAAATACCGGGGATAAATAGCAGCCATATAAAATTTGAGCCAAATCCATCCACTGGTATTTGAATTTTCAAAGATTATGTTTTTATGAAACATGGTTGCCATTTTGAAATTCAGCTGCCATCTTTAGATTTCTTCTTTAGCAGAGCTCCTATGTCCAAAGACATCAGCGTATACAATTTAATCCAAATGCGTCAACTAGTACTTGAGTTATCAAGGATTACATGTTTAATGAAAAATGGCGGAGATTTCGATAAATAGCAGCCACCTTGAAAATGTCCTCTCAAGCAGAGCTCCTTTATCCTTAGGCATCAGTATATATAATTTGAAGTAAATCCGTCCAATGGTATTTGAGTTATCAAAGATTACCTTTTTTATGAAAAATGGCAGCCATTTTGAAATTCAGCTGACGCCTTTGAAATTTCTTCTGAAGCAGATCTCCTTTTTCCCTAAACATCAGCATATACAATTGGAACCAAATCCATCCACTGGTATTTGAGTCATTAATGATTATGTTTTTTTACGAAAAATGGTGGCCATTTTGAAAATCCCTTCTCGAGCAGAGCTCCATTGTCCCTAGGCATCAGCATGTAAAATTTGAACCAAATCCATTCAATGGTATTTCAGTTATGAAAGATAACTTTCAAATATTGAAATATTTGAAATATGGTGGCCATCTTGAAAATGTCAGAGGCATAAGCCTATCAAATCTTAATGAAATCCGTCAACCGGTATTTGAGTTATTGCTCGGACACCCAAATGGACGGACGGACGAATGGTGATCCAAAATGGCTGCCAGTTAAATGTTGCATAATTTTGCTCCTATCAATATCAAGTTTCAAGAGTGTTTAAAAGTATTTTGAGGAAAGGAACTACATTGGATTATACATGAACCTTCAGGGAACACATTGGACTGATTAAAACAATTGTGTGGACATTATCTACAAGGATATTTACAAGAAAAGTTCTTAGTTTTAAACAATGGAAAAACAAATAATCAAACAAAGAGATTTCTTGAAATTTTTGAAAAAACTTTTAGATAGCTTCAGCTAAACATCTCAGTGGATGATATAAAAACAATAACCTGGAATAAATCTTTATTCTTATGAACAGAATGATTTAATATAATTTAGGAAACATATATAATATATAAATAGCAAAAATGTATATGGAAAATCTACAGGGAGTGGATGGAACAGCCATTTAAATTGTTTTTCATAATTGAGAAGTGAATGGAACAGCCACTTAATTACTTGAAGTAATTAAAACATGTATATAAACTGAGGGAGTGAATGGAATAGCATAAACATACCTACATATTGAACTTGAAAACATACCTATATATTGAACATGAAGGGTGTGTGGAAAACAAAAACATATCTACTTTTTGAACTATTATAGACACATGCTAGAAAGGGATATGAATTACAACAATTGGATATAATACATATTTTTGATGCAGTCATATGTTAATTATATAAACTGACTTATTACTCAGAAAAATGGCTATGGAGAAAAAAGACAGAGAAACTCGGCGTACATGCACAAAAACATTCTCCACACCTGATGCTAAGGGGAAGAAAAGAAGAAATACAAAGAAACAGACAATGAGAACCCTCAAGAAAAACCCAGAGACATTACATGAGAACTTTGAGTACAAGGATTTGCAAAACACAGGTGTACTAGTTTTAGATGATGAGTTTATGAGTCTGGTATTCTACACAGAACGAACACTTCTATGGTTAGAGGCTTTCAAGCAGTTCTATCAGCGAAAAGGTATGAAAGCAACAACAGCACGCCTCAAACATGGAACTAAAATAACTGTGTCAGATTATGTGACAGTAGAAGTCAGTGACTCAGGCATTATTACAGTCTTTGGAGAAGAGCTACAGGACTGGAGAGACAATGATTTTGATCTGATCAAAGGAACATTAGTTTCTTTGAAAATAACATCTACTCCTGATTCATACTCTACATCTCTGCCATCTACCTCAACTCCTTGTAATACTCACAGTAGTGGAACATTACCCGCACAAACGCAAGAGGATATCTTCATAAGCCAATCCGAGGAAATAGACACTGGCGAGGACAGTATTATCTTCTTCTTGGGTAATGATACTATACCCAATACCCAAGCTGACAGTGGTGAATCTGCCCAAATATCTCAATCTCAGTCTCTAATACAGCCCACTGTTATACCAGAAACTCAGCTTGATACTCAAAAACCGCTTTCTCAAAATGCATCCCAACCAGCGACAGGATCTTTGCATTTATCAAATATATCTCCTACTCAGACAGAATCCACTTCTAAACCTGACACACCAAGCATAACATCGGAGTTACAATGTGAAAACAAAAAACTGAGGACTAGGATTATCTCTCTTGAAAAGAGGCTTGAAGAGGAATCTATTGAACACAGTCAACACATTACTCAGCTGAATGCCAAGTTGCAGGATCTGCACTATAGGCTTCAATCAGCTGACAAGAAGAAAGAAGATGAAATTCAGATGGCAAAACAACTCCATGAACAAGAGACGAGAGATCTGGCAAGTAAGCTTGAATGCTATGAATCAAACGAGAAGTGGCAAATAACTACAATACAGGGGCTTAAAGCAGACCTTGCAACACAACACAGGAAAAATGTCGCCCTTATTGAGAGGTTTCAACAGATGGGATGTCATGATTTTGATCAGTCACTCCCACAATCAATGTCGCCTCCAACCATTTCCCAAAAAGGACAGACTACCTCAAAAACCAGCATACCCAAGAGATTTGTAAACAAAAATCCTGCTACAAAGCGATTCCCCACTCATGACAATGAAGGAATATCAGCCTCTACTGCCAAGAGGCCTGTTACACAACCCCCTAACAGACCCCCCAAAGTACCTTCAAGGAGCCCCCCAAAACCATCCCCAAGAAAATATATCAATAGTTCCAAGCAGCTCCCAACAACTGTCCATATAATGTACTCCTCAAATGGGAAGAAACTATCAGGTATGATGCACAATAGATCAAAGGGGAAAAACATGAAAGTGACCTCATCAGTGTATAGTGGTGCTAACATCGAAGATGCCACCCGTATCATACAACAAGGTGACATTGGCAAATCAACAGATCACAAATTCCTAGGTTTTGGAACAAACAACGTTAAAGTTGACTCTGCTCAAACCATTACTTACGAGTTGAAAAATCTGGCAATTACAGCTCAAAACCAGCACCCAACATCCAAAATAACTCTATGTGGACTGCACCACAGGGCAGATCATCACAATCCTCAGGAAGTGAAACAAATGAATATGAAAATAGACCAAGTCAATAGAGAGATGGAGTCTTTTGCCACGAAGAAAGGCTTTCATTTCATTAACATCAACAGAATTAACGATTCAACATCACTGGACCCTAACATGAATGTACTATATAATGACAATCTTCACTTTAACTTCACTGGAAGAACTCGGTTGGTAGATGCAATGTTGTCTATCATTAACTCAACACACAACTCCTATGCAGAGGCAGTAAGCATGGGAAACCCTCGCAAATCTCGAACTGGACTGAAGTTATAAACACTGATCAGTGTGATAGCATCTCAAACACAGAATGTATGAGTGATTCTTTAAATGAGATAAAACACAATTCTATTCATTTCCATGATTCAAATCATATGATAATGAGTGAAGCTCCATTTTGTGCAAATAATGTAACTCCAAATAATTCTGATTTGGGCCCCCACAATATGGAATTAAACACCACGTTAAGTCAAGTTTCCCAAAATGAAATCAATATTCAACCCTCTAGTCCTATAACAACACAGTTGAATGCCCAGTCGCAGGATCTGCGCTATAGGCTCAAATCAACTGACAACAACATAAATGGTAATTTAAAGCAAACAAATGATAATATGAGTCAAGGTGATATAAATTTTCTATTTTGGAATATTAACAGAATTTCCGATAAGTTATACGACGGATGTGATATCTATGAGCTCTTCAGTAAATATTCAGTGATCCTGTTAAGTGAGACATGGCTGGATCCATGTGACAACATATCATTCAATGGTTATACTGTACATAATCTCGCAAGAAAAACCAAAAACACAAACTCAAATTTTTATTCTGGAGGCATAGCTGTCTTCATAAAAGATGACTGTTATAATTCAATTGAAGTGCTAAAACAGACTCATGATTTCTTTGTATGGTTAAGAGTTAAGTCTTCTTTTTACAATTTAGAGAATGATATTTGTTTTGTTTATATGCCTCATAAAGGTTCAACTTATGAACATTTTGACAACTTTGACATTTTAGAAAAATCAATTGCCTCCTATCAACTTTCTGGTAAAACAATCATATGCGGAGACATGAATGCCCGCACTGCCCAGTTATCAGATATGAATATTGACATTCATGGATCGAATGATCAGTTTACCAATTCTTATTTTTTAAATGATCACTATATAAATAATAATAATCATCACCATGAACCAAGTGACCCTCTTCATAACCGTGTTTCAATGGATAAAAATATAAAGGCAATAAGCCAGACACATGGCAATGAATTCATAAGTCTATGCAAGGCATCTAATTTAAGAATCCTAAATGGCAGATTTTTTCATGATAAAAACATTGGTCAATTTACATACTATAGATACATAAATGAAATTAACCTGGATCCAAGTAAGGGAAAATCTGTATTAGACTACGTTGCAGTTCAAGCTGATATACTTAATACAATTTCAGACTTTAAAGTACATGAAAGGCGTCCAGATTCTGACCACTGTCCTATAAATTTTAATCTTAATCTAGGTCAGGCCAAAATTAAAAATAAAGTCAGCAAAAATATGCAGAATTTACCTTACTCATACTTTAAATGGGATCATAAATTAAAGGAACAATTCACCGATCTATTGGATGCAAATATCAACAATGGTTTACTTGAAAAATTTTATATTGATGTTGGTTCCAAAACTAATTCAGATTATTTACTACAGTCTCTTAAACATGTTATATATGACACTTCTGATAAAATACTCCCACTTAAACATTTAAAGAAAAGTACTAAAAAGTTCCCAATGAATCCATGGTTTAACAGTGAATGCAAAAAATTGAAAAAGGATTTACATTCTGCAATTAAGCAGAAGCTACCTAATAACATTATTGCTGATTTACAGAGAACGTATAACCAAACTAAACAGCGCGAGAAAAGAACATATCAGTCAAATCTTTTAAAATCTCTCATTTCTTTCAAATCTAAAAATCCAACAGAATTTTGGAAAATGATAAATAGTATCCCAGGTAGCAGTAATACAAATGAAATCCCTATTGAGGCATCAGAACTTTTTTGTGCTTTTGAAAAGTTGGGTAAGAATCCCAAAATAGACTATTTTGACGATGGAGCATTAAAAGAGATGCAATTATTTATAGATGAATATGATAAAAATAGTGTTTTGAGCAGAGAAATTGGATTTAGTCACGAAGTGCTTAATAGCAATATAAAGGAAGCTGAGGTATATGCTGCTCTCAATAAGGTTAAAGTTAACAAAGCACCTGGAATAGATGGGTTATCTTCTAATATCATTAAGAATTGCAGTATATTAGTCCCTGAATTCACGTCCCTTTTTAATCACATCTTTTCTCATGGTGACTACCCTAATGAATGGAGTATAGGCATGTTAACAACTCTCTTTAAACAAGGTTGTAGATTTAATCCTGATAACTATAGGGGAATAAATGTGTTGACTTGTATCGGTAATATCTTTGATAGAGTAATACAAAACAGACTTGTTTTTAATGCTGAAATGTTAGATATCCAAGATCCACTCCAAGGGGCATATAAACCTGGACATCAAACAACAGATAATTTATATATTTTAAATACAATCTTAGCCCGTTATAAGCTCATGAAAAAGCCTCTATACTGTATCATGATAGATTTTAGAAAAGCATTTGACTATGTAAATAGAGTGGCGCTTATGTATAAACTTTGTAAATCAGGAATTTCACCTAATTCTAATATATTCAAGGTTATATCTAGTATGTATGAAAAATCAAAAGCATGCCTAAAATTTAAAGAAGGTATCACCCCTACTTTTGAAACAGATGTTGGAGTAATGCAGGGCTCTGTACTTAGTACCTATTTATTCAACCATTTCCTTGATGACTTAAAAGATAATTTACCAAAAGAAAATGGTATTCAATTTAATGGAAATATGTTAAACCATTTACTTTGGGCTGATGATCTTATCTTGATGTCAAATAGTAAAGATGGTGCCCAAATTTTGCTCAATTGCCTTTTTGATTTCTGTAAGAGATATCATCTCATAGTTAACACAATGAAGACAAAATCAATTATTTTTAACTCAAAAGTTGATGCAGTTTTCAGATTCAATGATAGTGCTATAGAAAATGTTGAGCAGTACAAATATCTTGGATGTGTATTAAGTAAAACAAAGAATTTTGACCAGCATGTATTTTACTTGAAAGAGCAAGCAAGGAAAGCTTTGTTTAAAGTTAAACAGCAATATAAAAAATTTAATGACATTCCAGTTAATGTTGCATTGCACCTTTTCGATTCCTTAGTTGAACCTATTTTAACTTATGCCTCGGAGGTGTGGATCAATGAAAAACATCTGAAGTCAATAGAGATAATGCACCTATCTTTTCTTAAATGTCTGTTAGGTGTTAAAAAATCAACTTCAACACCAGCAATTTATGGAGAATTGGGACGCTAGCCGTTAAAAATACGTTTTGAAATCAAATTAATTAAATATTGGCTCCGTTTACTTCACCTATCACCAGGAAACATTCTTCATAAAACATATATATATGACCGTGAAATGAGTCAATTTGGTTTTAAAGGCACTTGGTCAAACAAAGTCATTGATATTTTAAAAAAGTGTGATTTATTATCTTATTGGGATACTCAAAAGATTGATGATGACAATATTTTTATCAAGACAATAACAAAAACACTGTATCAGAATTATAAAACTCAATGGAACAAAGATATATTAAATTACCCTGTCTTGAGAACTTATGTTAAATTCAAAAATGTCTTTGAAAGAGAGAGTTATTTAAATATCCAAAATAAAAATTACAGGCAAGCAATTTGTAGATTTAGGCTTAGTTCCCACAAGTTACATATAGAACTTGGTCGTCATTTAAAGCCAAAGCCAAAACCTGTAGATGAACGTTTATGTAATATTTGTGGTATTTTAGAAGATGAACAACACTTCATCATGATTTGTAAGAAAAACACTACAGAAAGAAAAATTTTGTTTGACACCCTTACACGATTTAATTTTGTAGGCAGTCCTGACATTATTTTTAAAAAACTAATGTCTCACAAAAATTCTTATGTAATTTTACATTTAGCAAAGTTCATCTATCATTCACTCAAAAAATTGGATTAATGTGTCAACGATGCATCACACTGATATTTAAATTTCTGTCAAGTTATATTTGTATTTTACATGTACAATTATCTTGTATTCTGTATTTTACATTTGATGATGTAATTAGAATTGTATTTGACAACAACTTTATTTTTGTATTC